TATAAAAATATTAATTTTTAAATAAATTATTTTAAGAATATTTAAAATTATTATAAATAATTTTAATTATTAAATAAAATTGCAGGCAAATTTGCTTGCAAAACACTTGAAGGGATAATAATAAATAAACGTATTAATTCAACTGATATATCAGTTATATAAATAATATAAATACCCCTGAAAGATCAACAATCATCACCTGATAATATTAATATGTTATTACATAACTTATATATAGTAATCAACAAAATTTTTATAAAAGGTAATCTACGTTATTCTCTTAACAATGCTTCAAATACAAAATCTAAATACTGTGCAAGTCACATGTTCACCTTTATATTAGCTTTCATTATGAAAGGTGAAAATAGAGGAGAAAAATTAGAATTATTACATAATCATTTTGCATCAAAATCTGGTTTCGTAAATATATTGATTAGTATTTTCATAATGAAAATGCTCAGATTTTTGTAGAATTCAATAATAAAAAATTACTACTCAAAGTAATAAATGACATTGATTTATAATACTCTAATATTCCATTTAATCTTGAATATGAATAAAATATCATCAATGATTTCAATCATGTTCTAATTTACTGATTTAAAGCTATTCTATTAAATATTAATAATAAATATATTCATCATACGTTGTCTTATTATAGAAAAATTGAAAATATTGAAAATAAGTATAAAAGTAGATATGATTTATCACGTGATATTATTATCTTATTTATAAATCTAATAAAATTAAAACAAATGAATACTGCTTGAGCACATAATATTAATGAATAAGTTATCTAGTATACACATATTAATACCTCATTAGAAGAACTCAAACAACGAAATAATTTTATAGCAGAATTCAAAGAATTTCTTAACAGAATAACTTCTGTAGAAGTATTTTGTATACTTAGATATTTTAAAGCAATATTGTATTACTTTTATAATAATATCGTTTATGTAGTATTTTCCTTTGAAAAGAATATAAATGATATGTGTAATTAATATATCTTATATAATGAAAGTGCAAATGTTTCACTTATTAATAGAATAGCTGGAAGAATTATCTCACTATGTTCTTTTATTTCTTATAATAATTTCAAAAAATGCTTTCTTATTACCTTTAAATATGAACTAACATATCTTAATTAATTCTTGAATAAAAGTGATACCTTCTTGCTTAATTGAAGAGATATTTTATATAGATCTGTATAAAATAGTTTTAATAGATCTGAAAATTATCTTACTTTAAATAATGTAATAGCTATTTTAGTTTTAGACAATATTCATAGTAAAATAGTTATAGAAAAATTTAGATTAACTTCTTTTAATGATAGTTATAGTGATAGTAGTAATATAGATTTTAGAGTAAATAAAAATGGAAGAAAGAAATTTATGATAGCTCACTATTCCTTTTTGAATTGTATAATCATTGAAAAATCAGTTAAGAAATTCAAAAAACAAAACACTACAATTATACAATACTATATCAAAGTGATAATCCTTCTATTGATGATTTTTTAACAACAATTTAATTAAATTGTATTTAGATGTAATATTAATAGACCATTCTTTATGGACTTTTGCCAGAACTTTCCAAAAATTTAAACAAAAAATTCTTACTAATTAACAACTTTTTGTGTATTTGTAATTAGAAAGCAAATAAGCTAGTAGTTATAAAAATCACAAAAACTCATTCTATTAAAAGTCATAGAATTATGAGATAACAACTTGATTAATTAATAAAAGTAAACAAATTTAGAATTAATAACAAGCTGATCAACAATTAAAACATTATCAGATCTGACATGAAATAAAGAATGCTAATAATTTTACTGATTTTACCAAGTCAATTGATATTAAATGTTAAATTAATAAAAAATATATATTAATGAAAAGCACTATTAGGATCAACTCATTTCAATTACTATGTCATTATCTTTATTTAAGTTACTAGATTTTTATACTGATGGCTCACTAATTAATCTATTAACAAAAAATTGCAAAATAGGTCTAGGTTAAATTTTTTCTGATCTAGAGGATAGTAATAGAATTTTCTTTAATGCTTCTATCACAAATTCATCCTCAATATTCAAAGTAAAAGAACATACAAAAGATTTTTATAATAAAATGGCTGACAAATTAGTGAAAGATAATGCCTTTAAACTAACTCTAAGCCTTAATAATACTACTTTTAAGGAATTTTAATTGCTTTTAAATGTTGATAACATCCCAATTGAATCATCTTCAAGAAAATCCTGAAAAAATCTGAATGTCTCCTTTCAATTCTCTTTATTTTTAGATAATTCTTAACTATTCAGCTTATTCAATATTTCAGATTTTCATTGGAATAGCTTTATAGGCTTCATAAATTCTAAAGAAAAAGATATCTTAATTACTTCTTTCATATAAAGAAAGAAAAGACCTTCAAAATAAAAAACATACTTAACGAACTGTTTATATTACAGTTCCCAGCGAAAAGAATAGCGGGAAGTTTTTTTTGAATAATAAAAGTTTTTAATAAATAACTTTTAAAAATTTTTTTTATTCTTAAATGCTTTTAATTAAGAAATTATACAATAAAAAATTAAAATATAAAAAGTATTCTTCTTCTCTGTCAATCTGGATTTAAATACAAATTAAAATACTAAAAAATTAGAAAGTTAGCTTTTTTTTTCATATTAATTTAACTTCATGCTTTCTATTTCCTACTTTCTTAGTTAGAATATATTATTTCTATTGTAGAATATTTAGCTAAACATTTTTTTATTAGTGAGTGAAGCTCGTTAACATAGTAAAATTTTTTGTAATCTTAATTTTAAAGATCAAACACTCAATTTGACCTTATTTCACGATCGCAAAAATTTTATTCATTTTAAAATATGCATTGCAGGCTTTAAACAATACACATAGAATTTGGACTAGTAATACATATAAAATACTATGTAATTGTTTATACAAATCTTTTAAAAAAAAGTTAATTATATAGTAAAAGATTGCACTGCCATTCTTTTCGCTGGGGACTGTATCTAACTTAACTCTTTGTCGACCAGATATATATAAGATAATAAGTATTCTTCTTATTACCATAATAATAAAAATTAATAATACTTATAGACATATCTATTGAGAATGAATAACATCTATAAGATTCATTCTTCTACAATCACTTTGTAGAATCTTAAATTTTATTAAAATTAAAGAAAAATAAAGAAAGAATTGTCCTTTTCATGAATATCAAACAGTTTATATTATATTATTTTGAGCTCATTAGTTGATATAGACTCCTTTATCTTTTTATCAAAAGGTCTCATTCTATCATTCCTTTTTTTCTTCTTAGGAGATTATTTTTTTCCATTAATTTGATAAACAATCAGTAGATTTTATTGTATCCTTCTTTTATAATAATATCTGGATTATTAGATATTATTAATCTTACTCTATTCATTAAATAAGTTAACTATAATTTGAAGTTAGGAAGGTAATAGTTATAACTTAAATCCAATCAACTTAACATATTAATAGTTAAAGAGTTTATTAAGTTAATAAGAATAAATTATAAATTTTATGTTTGCAAAATATTAAGGTTATTTATTATTATTATTAAATATATCTTGAATATAATATTAAGATTTGTTCTTTTCCTAAAGCATTTTCATACCCTTTATATAAAAAAATTACAATTAAAGAAAATCTATGGTATTATTGTTAGCTATTTACTTGAAAATAGAATAGAATTATGATATTATGACAATAATAACAGAGCTAACAGATATGCTAATTATGTTAAATATGAAATAAATAATAATTATGATAAATATACTAGAAATAATATATGTATCCTATTTAGTAGATATGGTATATTTGGCATATATATCATATTTGATAGGTCTGTTAGTTTCTGCCAATTTTAATGTGCAGATATCATTAAGCTAGAAAAAAGCAAAGAGATTTCAGAAAAATACAAAAAATATTATAATAAAATAAAAAGTTTGCCAAGAATCTAAACTTTTATTAAGAATTTTAATTTTTAGAAATACTAGATTAGCTTAGCTTTAAAATTCAGTTTTACTTAATCTGATTTTTAATAAATACTGTGAACGGGTAAATATGATGCAGCTTATATGATGCAAAAGATCAACTAATTTGATATAAGTAATATATATGATATGTCAGAGATATGTGGCATAACTAACATATTAGACATGGTTGACATATTAGATATAGTTGACATATTAATTATAGTTGATATATTAGACATAGTTAATATAGTAGATATGTTAGTTATATTTCTCTGTATATTTTATATAAATAGATAGCTTTTTAGTTTATGTAAAAAGAGGAGACAGATAGGAACTCGACAAGTTAGTTTTAGTAGTTTAGAGGCAACTGGCCTACCGCGTTACATTTTTGTTTCAGTGATTCATTTCTTTTCTTTTCTTATTCTATTTTCTTATTTCCTTTTATTTCTTTTCTTCTATTTTTATTATTTTACTTGTGAATAAACATATTATTTTACAATTATAAATCATTAACAATCTATTGAAATACTACTTGTCATAATAGTACAAACACTTAAGAATCAGTCTGAAATAAAACTCATTAACTGTTGAAAGGTTACTGCTTCATTAAAAAGAATAAACTGCTTGAACACCCTGTCTAACAGTTGTAGTTCATCATATGGGCTGATCATGCTCATTTCACTATGTATATTTTGTGATATAACCTGATTTGTATCACCAAAACTTGTGATAACTCAAATTTAGAGCCAATTGCTGCTCTGAATAATAAAAAAAATTTTTTTTTACTATTGAAATCGCAAGTTTCAGATTAGTTATAAATTTGTTTGAAAAGGTTTCATTGCGAAATCGAGAAATATTAGAAGAAGCGGTTTTATAATAGCTGTTACTTTTTTATTTTTACTGTTTAAGTTTCAAAAATTTTTGATAAAAAAAAATTAGAAATACATAAAAAAACTCTTTGTAATGCTCTAATCACTCTATGGTAAGCAAATTTGCTTTCTTTATGAATAATATATGCGTTTATTAACTTAATTATTAAATGTTTAAATATATTCTACAAGAATTTTTTATCAAGATTATCCTAATAATCCTTATATATATGCTCAGTATATTGCTGGAGGAAAGGTTTTTCATTCAAAATATAAGATAATCGCACTTGGTCATTATTCACAAAATGTTAAGTATATACAGAAAAGTGGTCGTGATTAAAATTCTATTCAATATCAAATTCCTGATAGATATATCGTAAAGACGGAAGTTGCAGACCAGATGCTATGTTGTGAAACAAAGTACACTTTGGAAAATAAAGTTTTATATACTATTACATGGAAAGAAGGTCAAGCAGAATGGGTAGTATCTAGTGAGCAGTCCGCTAGTAAAGCTGTAAATGTGTTTTTAAAGGTATTTTAATTACTTATTTCAGGAAATTAAATGTATATTAATTGGTGATTTGTCTAAGAAGCAGAGAATTTTATTAATAAAATTTGGGGAAATTATAAATTGATTAATAAATGATAGGAAATTAGAATTTGAAATCCATAGTAAAAAACAAATTTGTAGTTTTTTTTTTATCTTATATAAAATATCTTCACTTTTTTTAAA